CGTACTTATATAAATAACTTTTTGAACAAAAGTTTATAACAGTTTTTCCATTTATTTTGGAAAACAGAGCCGTTTTCCGGTGGTTCGAGCAATGGGTACCGGCTGTGGCCATGCTCACTATTTGACTGACGTTTGTTTGTTTATTTAAATTAAAATATTAGTTTGTAAATTAATTTTAATTTATTAAATAATAAATATTAATTATTTTATTAATTATTAACTATTCTTACTTTTTAATAATTAAATCAAATAAAATTAATATATTTTACACAATTTGGGGATCTGGACAAGCCTAACGGAATAATTACACCATGTATACCGGATACGTAAGTTATTAAAAATAAAAATAAAAAGACTGAGAATTCAATCCACGGTAGAAATTCAAGTGCTCTCTTATTGGGGGTGAGTATTGGGGATGGATCTATTTGCTGCTTACAAATATTTATATAATTAAAATTATATATATTTATTATACTTAATATATTTAATAATAAATTTAAAAAATAATAAAATATAAAAAAAATCACACACATAACTTATAAATAATAAATTTTAAACTAAACTCATATTACACACGTAGCAAACAATTTTTTCTCTTTCTTGTACTCTTAGACAACAATGAGTATTTATAACTTTTAAGTTTGATACTTACAACTTCAAAATTTGATTCTTTTCAGCTTTTTTTTTTCCTTTTTATACTTTTTCATTAGTGATTTTTAAGTCATTGTCATTGTTTATTGTATAAATAATTTTTTAAGTCATTGTCATTGTTTATTGTATAAATATTTTTTAGCTTCAAACTTCAAATTTAACATTATAACAACCATAAGTCAAAAGCATAAATATCATACTATTAAAATGGATACAATACCATCAATCACTCTTCCTTTCTAACGAATCAAAATAGAGGATTAAAGAGATATTGAGCTAAAAAGCTACATATTTTTTTAAAGTATTTTCATTATGTTATTTAATTTATTTTTATTTTTTATTTTTTAAGTACATATTTTTCATTCTTTGTTATTAATTATTTAATTGAGTCTTGTTTTTTTAACAATACATAGATTTGAGTTTTAGATATAAAATTAAATTTTAGTCTCTCTATTGTTATTTTAGATTATATTTAAATTTATATTGTAATAAATAATATTTTATTAAAATTTTATTTGTTTTATTTAAGTTTAAATTAAAAATAAATAATATTTTATTAAATTTTAATTTGAAAAAAAAATTAAAACAAAATATCATTCAACAAGTACATAAATATACCTACAACTTACCTAGTACCTGTTGGGTTAATTACTAAGTATAAGTTTTCAAGTATTTGAGTAAGTATTAAATTTAAAAAATTATACTAAAAAATTTTAAATTAAATATCAAATATATCTCATACCTTGCTTGTACTATAATATGCTCGCTATTACCTACAACCACCCTTGTTATTTTCTTTGGGCCAAAGGCCCAGAGTGTAATCTACTTTGGGCTCAAAACTTACAAAAGCAAACAAAGCATGTCCAATAGTCCATGAGTTTAAAAAATAAAATAACAAAATTTGTCAGTAAGTCTTGCCCGGATGTTCGGTTAAAGGGAGTAGATGGAGGAAAATTTATTATAATTAATTAAATTATTTGTTAACCTAAAGACTTAATTTGATTGACCAGAATAAAGTCACCTCCTCTCCTCTCCTTCCCCTTCTCTCTATTTTTCTCAAATCAAACACGCTATAAGAGTTTAATACAGCTGAAGAATGAAGATCACTGCTAAGAGACATAATTTCAAAATGAAAAGAGAAAGAGGATTAGGAATGAAATACATTCAGGTTAAATGTTTGCAACTCATCTAAAACATCCTGCATTTAAGATAAAAAGCAGCAAAAGCTACCATATATTATTTCCAAGAACTAAGATTCTTACACAACCAGTTGAAGACTCAATACTATAGCTAGGGTCTTCTCTATATTCTTTAAATCCATATACTAATACATTCTCACAGAGTTACATTGCATTTGAGGCAAAACTATCCTGAAATGTGGCAAGGCTCCTCAAGTATCCTAGAGATGGATTTAATTTGGCTGTTTAAACTGACCTTAAGTTTACAAGGGAAGGATCAAGTACTGGCTTCTTGCCTTTGCAAAACAAGAACTTTCCACCAGATGAGAGAGACCTTTTCACTGAAATTGATCCCTTTGACGCAAAAGGACCAATGGAAGAACTTTTCATCATTTTGCGTTTGGTTGAACTTCCACTTCCTTTCTTAGCAACAACCTTCGATCTCGTATTCTTTACCCTTGCCAGTTCAGTTTCCATGTTTCCTGGATGTTCACCTTGTCTGAGACCAGCAACAGCACTATAGATCATCATGGCAGAAGGTGAATCCAAAGAAACTGACCTCCTTATAGGCTGCACATCCTCCACAACCCTTTGCCTAATTTCAGCCAAGTCAGTTGGTACTCGAAATTCAGAATCACAAACCCTTGATTTAGAATGAGGCAAGCCTTTCTTAGAACTTCCAGCAGTGTTTTCATCTTTAGTTGGCAATGTTCCTAAATTGTCATCCCTAGTTACCATTTCGCTATTTCCATCTTCTCCAACATCATTTCCCCCAAGTTCATGATTCTCTGAATCTCCCACCTGTGTTTCTTCCCTTGATCCTGAACCAACATTGACATCAGGCATTGATACACTAGCTTGATCAACAACAGCATCACAAACAATCGGGGCACGGCACAAGGGACAATTTTTGTGTGACTTTAACCAAGTATCAATACAATTAATGTGGAAAGCATGATTACACTTGGGCAAAAGCCTAAGACTCTCATCTTCTTGAAACTCATTCAAGCAAACAGAACAGTCCGTTCCATCAATCAATCCCTCACCATTTTTATACTTAAAGACTGCGATCGAATCAATCACTGATTGTTGGAGACCAACAGTGTTGATGTACCAAATAGGGTTTACAAGCTGCATACCACGCTCTTCATCAAAAAAATCTTCCTGGCTACCAGAAAGTACACTCTCACCCTCACCCTCACCCTCACCCTCACTGTCACCCACACTCCTCCTATTTTTCCTCCTTGAATAATATATTCTAACCATGATAAAGAAGATAGCACAAAGAAGAACACCACTAATCAAACATGTCATAACATTCACTCTCGGAAGATGTGAAACCGGAGGGAAAGGAACCCTTGGATCTTTTGGTAGAGGAGGAGGACAATTACCATTCGGAGGTGGGATTCCTCTATTAGGATCATCTTCTGTGCTATCTGGGACATCATCTAGCAGTCTTCTATGATTAAAACCCATAGCGAGCAACAGAGGAAGATCAAGCAGAGGGATACGGATTTATACCTTGTGTGAGGAGAAACACAGCATGAGGAGGCACTGGAATTGATTTGCTTTCCACCAAAGACTGTTTTTCTGAACACAATCCACCGCAGGCTGTTTACAGAAGATACTTTGCTTCGTCCACAATGTTGCTGAACGTGGAAGTTGGGTTAGATTTGAGAGGTTTCGCTTTCCATAAAAGACTCTAGGCATTTACTGGTTCTTTTCCTTTCCTTTGCCTTTGTCTTGGTGAAATAGTCGGTCGGGCATTTACTGGTAGTTTCCTTTCTTCGTCCTATCATTTCCTGGAAGTTTC